AGTAAACAACAAAAGAACAAAAAAAACTAAGTACAAATGTTGCAACAAAAGCTTCACTCAGCATCATCCCCACAGCCGTCCTCCCCAACAGCATCGACATCATCAGAAGGGAACTCATCCTCGTTATCAACGCCCTCACCAGCCTCCAGCGTCGTAGGGTCGTAACAACAGGCAGTCCGAGCCTCGCGTGCCTTCGCCCGAGCATCTTCAAAGGCGGCCTCTGGAACATTCCCGCCTCCCACAAACCTTTGTATATATCTCGCCGGGCCTCGGCGTGGACCCATAGCTCATACAAGCGGTGGGGGACCGCGGCAGAGGCAGATTCGACCTGGGCCAACAGTTGTTCCTTCTCGGACTTCGAGTGCCACGACCCAGTCTCCTAGGCTCGAAGCCTCCCGGTCAATTTCACCAATATGCTCCTCGAGCTGAGCCTCCCTCAGCGTGGCCATTTCCCTCTTAGATTCTTGCTCAGATTGGAGGACGCGGATAGTGTCCTCCAGCGTCGCCGCCTTCGCCTAAGCCGACGTTCGAGCCTCCTCGGACTTTTCATCTCAGCCATTTTCTTTTCCAGCTCGGCCAACTTCCCCATCCATTATGCGCTCAAAGCTTCGACTTTGGTAGCATTCTGCTCAAGTTAGGCTTGCAGAGACAACACCTTCGCATGAAGGTCCTCTGACTCCACGGCAACCCCTTTGCCCACCTCGAGTTCCTCGTCTTTGCTACGAAGCAGCTCCTCGAGCTCACTGCATCTGCGAATAGACTACATTAGCTCCTGATCTCTTTTCTCCAACTTCTCCCTGATGGATTGGGTGCCAGTACCCGCCCTGAGCCGCTGGTGCATCTCACGGCACTTGTTTCGATATCGCCGATACTTTTCGAGCATTTTTCAGAAAAATCTCGGCCCGCATCTCGGCCCTACAAGCACTCTCGACCTCCATCATGTAAGACTAAAAACAAAAAGAGAAGAAAGGAGTCAGTAAAGACAAAGGTCACAAAGCCAAAAAAAAAGGAACTCACCCTTAGGCCCATCGCGGCCACAACGTGTGACAATTCGGAGTCGCTAACATCCTGAAGAGCTCCTCTTTCTGCGGCAGAGCATAAGGTCAAACTGCGGCACAAAATCCATCGTGTCTTGTAGAAGGTTGAGATCCGACGAAATTTTGAGAATTTGGGAAGGGCCTCCCACTCTCACTACAATTTGGGTAAAGCCCTCCTCGAACATCCTAACATCCTCGGGATCAATGTCGGATTCAGACTCGTAATCATCAACCATGATGCCTTTTCCCCTCTTTTCGGCCGAAGAAGAAGTGCGGTTCGGCCGGGATGTCGAAGGGCCGCCCAAAACAGTAATGACATCCTCAAGACTCCGTCTCTCTGCCACACCAACCTCTTGATTGCTCACAACAGGCGTAGCCTCCATGGCCCGGTTGGCACCACCGCCGGTTTCGGGCACCGCCAAGGCAAGGTCGCCCCTCGAAGATGTTTCGGCTGGAGGGGTCTCTTCTGACACTACCCGTCGCCTCTTTTACGGGACCTCTCCACTACCAGCATGGGAAGACTCGCCCGTCGAATGGACTGCAAGAATTGGAGTCTCTGGCTGAGGAGTAGCCTCCGTGCGCACGGCTTCGGACGTAGGTGCATATCGGGCAGTAGCTCTTGGTGCGGGCCGGGAAGCGGCCCTCGATACAAGTCGAGAAAGGGGTGCCGGTTGACGGTATGCGAGCGGAGGAGCCCTCGTCCTTCGCGCTCTCCGACCTGCCAACAAAGAAGGATTAGATCATATAACGACAAGATTAAACTATGAGGAAAATAATTAAGAGAAACTACAGCAGGCCGACTCACCAGTAAGAGGCTTACGCCCATACTTCTCATGGAAGGACGCCCACTTACGAATCCCCATTGTATGGGGGAGAATTACGCTCACCCACTCGCGGATATCGGCAAGTAGCGGGGGAGGTAATCTCTCGGCTGCAAAAGCAAAAACAAATCCTTAGAAATATCACCTAAAGGAGGACGATCGACGACCGCCTTAAGAGGTGTCAAAAAATAAACAAAGGAAAACTCACAAGCAAAGTTCCACGTCTCTGTAAACCCTGTCGAGTCCGCCACAAGGTGCTCTTCCGTATATAGAAGTAGCATTCCCAAAAGCGGCAATTAGCCTTATCGTCCATCTTCACCACCAAACTCTTAGTTCCTCGATGGCGCATATGGATCATCTTACCCCGAAGAAAATGAGGGGCAAAGATGTGAAGCATGTGCCCCAAGGAAATTCCTTGGCCGGCAAGCTCCGCGTACTTGATGAGCTTGCGAAAGATTTTGTACGCGTATGGAGAGAGTTGAGCCGGGCATACTTCGTAGAAGCGGAAGAAGTCTACCACCGGAGAGGGAAGAGGAAGTGTGTACCCAATAACAAAGGGGTACACGTAAAATGCGTAGTATTCCGGACGGTGTAGATGTACAATGTCCTCCCCCGCCGCCGGTACCATTTCGATATGAGCAGGGATTCCCTACTTGGCCTTGAGTTCCGTAATCACCGCTTCATCCATAATGGAAGAGACAGGCTCCGGTTCGTTTCCGGCAGGGCTGTTAAAGTCAGTCCTCATCTTCCCCGGACGGGGTACTATCCACTTTCGGAAATCCCTCGTCTTCCACCACCTCCACTCCCTCTTCAAGAAGGGCACATCACTTTCCGGCACCGGAGCTTCAACAACTCTATCAGTCTGGGAAGTACCAGCCATTTGTCTGTCTTGATCGGAATAAACAAGAACAGTGAAGGAAAAGAGAGAATGGTCATGTCGAATTCTAATGAAAGAAGAAGTATGAAAGACTAAGGAAAGAGGGAGTTTGTAAAATTCTTTCTCAAGTAAATTGAAAAGCATAACAATCAAATGAGGGATTCCCCCTATTTATAGGGACACAAATGTCCTGAGCGGGAAACCCAAGAGCCGCCAATCAGAAAACTGAATGGGCACGGGAAACGATACGGTGCCTAGGGAACGTGTGCCATAATGACACATAATAGGCTTTCATGGTACCCTGAATCGACGTGACAATCCAACTCTGAACTGATGTAACGGTCCAGTGAAGTTCCCGGATCGTCACGTCACTACCTCGCCATAAGGACCTCGACCCTTGCATAATGATCAGATTTCTCCCAACTTTTGAATCAACGGAATCCACCCACCGAGCTCGCCAAGAGGCGACCCCAATAAGGTGACCCCCTTCTAGTCCCCCGTTAAGGGGAATGGTAAGGGGTCTACCAAGCCGTGGACGCACCCGTAAGGCGTAATGGCGACGAGTGTCTCCGCCACTGCCGAGATCGAGCCATCGAGAAGACTTGCACAACGGAATATATGCAGTCATGATTGAGCAAGTAAAGAGGAAGGTAGTCAAGAAGGGGTATGCTGGTAAAAGACCGTTGGATAAAGGGGTAGGTGAGTAATATATATAAGGAAGGAAAAGCAGAAAGGAAGGGGATCCGAGAAGGGAAAAACCAAGAGAAGACTTAGAGGAGACATCTGATGAACAAAGCAAGAAGTCTAGATCACATATTACAAATCTTTGTAAACACCAGTGTTGAATCAATAAAGCTAGATCTCATAGTTATCAACGAGATTCTTTCCTTATCTTCTTTGCTTTTACAAATGCACAACAATATGTCAAAGATGTAAGCTTATCATTTATATTTGATGCCTTTTTACCATCCTGAGAAATATTACATAAACTCAGCCTCACTTGATTCTCGTATCCAATATGCTTGGATCTAAAGTTGATTATGTTTGGCTAAGATTTACTCTTTATTTCATCATTAATTGATTTAACTAAAAGGTTCAACACTTTTTGGTCAAACAGTACAGTCTGCTCTTCATACCCAACCGAGATTCAAAGTATTCGTATTTAACAGTTAATGATGCTTGAGTTGCTAAATGTTAAATATATGCTCTTTTTGGATGTGTCGGACTTTAAGGTGTTAGACAAGATGAAAGTAAATGATGGTCTATTAAAGTCCGACACATCCAAAAAACGAGTCGCATAAATATGAATACTAAGATAGATGTACAGTTATATAACATTATAAATGATCATAATTCTCAAAATGTACAAGCAAAATATGACGAGGATAAAATGAGAGAAGGCCGCTTAAGATTGTTTGGCCATTTCTATACCAACCCTAATATGCATTGGTTCATAAGGGTGAAATAATGGTAAATTGAGATGTTAGCATAGGACGAGGTAGACCTAAAATCACACCGATAAAGTTTATCCAGAGGCTTAACAACTTTTAAAAGTCATACAAACTAAGCAAAATATATGACCCAGTTGAATAAATTTTTTATATAAACGCTACCAGTTATGTAGGAATATGCTTTAAACATTTTATTAAGTTTACGTTTTGCATGCTTTTCAAAAGTTTTTAAACTTGTTAAATGTGTACTATTAAAGAATATTGTGCACTATTCGTGCTACATGTGAAAGAAGTAGGATCATTTTAAGTGAAAGCAAAGGAGTAGAGAATATTGTGGACTATTAGTGCTTCATGTGAAAGAAGTTGGATCATTTTATGTGAAAGCTCAAGGATAGTTAGGAGCGGCAAACAGGCGGGTCGGGGCGGATATGATTAGGGTCGAAAACGGATAATGAAAAAATGGATCAATTATCCGACCCGACCCATTTTAATACGGATAAAAAACGGGTTAACCGGCGGATAATATGGGTTACCCATATTATCCATGACTTCTTGTATATGATCACTTTTGGGAAAATTCTTAGTCTCCCTAACTTGAGTAATCCCCAATTTGAGGCTTTATAAATGTAAAAGTTAGACCCGTTGGTTACTCATTGGTTATCCATTTTCTAAATGGATAATATGATTTTTATCCATATTTGACCCATTTTTAAAAAATTCATTATCCAACCAATTTTTTAGCGAATAATATGGGCGGTTGGTTAACTGTTTTCTTTGAACCAATTTGCCACCCCTAGGATAGTGGACCTTTTTGGAATTTATCTCGAACAAGGGGCATAATTTAATCAATTATTTTGGCTAAAACGACAACGTCTCGCGTGACTGCGGTAATTTGCCTCAACAAAGGAGAAGAAACGCCGATGACTGAAGAGTGAAGACTGTAATGGTCGATAGCCAATTCCACCAGAGTAAAGAGGAAAAGGTAGAAAGAAAGGAAGGTGTAGCAAATAATGGCTGTATCTCCAAAATTATACGTCAATAAACCTAAAAAAGGTAATCACTATATTATTATCCCTATAATAATCATTTGGAGATCGACATTTCAATTATTAATATCCGTTTTTATATTCTGATTTACAGCGCAGCTGAAGCAACATCAGCAACAACAGGTATCTTCTCCACTACCACCGGCGCCGCCGCCGTCTTCATCGTCGTCGTCGATGGCGTCATCAGCATCTGCGCGCAGTGCGGCTCCACCGCCTCAGCCGCCTAGGGAATCTTTCGTCCGTCGTTATAAGTACCTCTGGCCTATGCTATTGGCTGTCAATTTCTCTATTGGAGGTTCCTACTGCATCTCTGCCCAATGCTCCTTAATTTCAATATAAAGTTCCGAAGTCTATTGACTTTAGACTAGGGCATTGCTGATCGCATTTTTATGGATCTGCTTTATATGTTTTGATTTATTTTTAAGTCCACTATTGTGACGTTATGCTGAAATTTAAAATCCACAGTAAAAACGCAATCAGGTGCTTGTTTTCTTAAGAATAGCTTCAAGCTTTTTATTATGTTAGTAGGCAAATTTCTCAGTCTCTAACTGTTTTCTTTTTGTAAGTCAATCTGAGTAGCTTATATCTCATATAGTCATATTCATCAATGTATAAGAGGTGAGAATTTTAATGCAGATTTATTTGCATTGATGAAAAGTCATGCTAGACATAGGAGGGTAAGAAGCTCTGAGTTTTGACTAGGCAACTTAATGAAATGATACAGGGTTATTCTGCAATACACCTAGAGTAACTATGTCTAAGATTAAGGGGCTGTGCAGATTTTGGGGAAAATGTGGAAATGGGAGAATCCTCCTTTTGTCCTTGAAGTCACTGGTTGTTTTCCTTTCTTTTAGCCCTTCTTGCTCTGTTGTTCTAAATTGGGTTGCTTTGTCTTCATTTTGGTTCTTGTTATGCGTCAGCAAACAAGATTTCCTCTTTTTGCATTCGACAGTTTTATGATTTTTGTAATTTACGCAGCTTAATAATCACAATGTGCAAACAATATACATCTTTTTTACCTTATATTTGTTTGACCATCCCGTATCCGGAACTCACTAGCCCAACTAATCCAAATCCGTGCCAGGTAGGCCTACTAAGGGGGTGACGTGCTCTCTATCAAGAAGTTCTCCATTCTCGGGGCTCGAACCTGCGATCTCTAGTTAAGGGTGGAGGTATCCCGACCATCCCACCCACGCCCCTTGGGGAAATAAACAATTTCCTGTCAAGCCACCATATATTGGTTGTTCTGAATTTTGAATGGTGTGATTCATTTAGAGGCCTAAACCAAAAAAGTTAAAATTTGAACTGACTGATATCTACGACCAGTAATGCGACCACCTTTAGTTTAAAAGCCTTCACCTTTGTCCTTTTGGACGAAAGAAGAAAGAAAATATTTGCATGTAGGGAAGAGAGGAAAGAAGGACGAGGAGGGATCGACTGAAATACTACCCAAGAATGACTGAATACTATACAGTCGAGTATCTGCAATAACAGTGAAAATATACATGGCAATTCTCCTGTAAGCTTTTGTATTTTGTCTCTTCTCTGGAATGTAATCCCTCTTAATTTTGTGCTACCCCATAGACGAGAGAAAACTTAACGAACAGTTCATGCACCATGTTTGTTGCCATCATTATGGAGGAGCGGTCACCTGTGGGGGAGGATCATTTTTATTCTGTTACAGTGCTGATGTAACTTGCAGGGTCAATGGGGTTTGACGATCTTGATTTAAACACGAATGTGTTGAATAGTTTAACCCAGCTGATTAAAACATAGATGGTTTAATCCATCTGATTCGTGAGGATTGAATATAATTTTTAGGACAATCCAAATCTGGTGCATATTATTTTGGTCAAAGTAGGGGATTGTTTCAGAATTGTGACAAGAACTTATGAAAAGCTTAAATTAGCAGTGATGGAAATTCTCAAAAGAGGTACGTCATTGTAAAAGGAACCATAGCCATACTAAATGGTCCACGTGTACAACTGTGCTTTAAGCAACATAGTCATACATTTAAATTGATCTGTATCTTTGTTAAACTAGTTTCAGCAAGGACAGTTATAATTAAGAAACTAGTAGTATTGATTGAATCCATCAAACTTTGTTAAAGCACATTCTTGATTCCCCCTTCTAATTTGGTTGGCTGCTAGTGGAAGTCCTTTGTGTGCTTGCACTATGTATCTTTAGTATATACATGTGACAGTAAGATAAGATATTTAATTCCAAGATAGAGTTGTATATTTGCTTGTGATGAACATTCGACTAATTTGGCTGTGTTAAATGGTCTTGCGCTCTAATTGTCACCAGAAAGAAGTCCGAAAATTGATGTTCCTGGTTATTTGTTTCGACAAGTTAGCGTTCATTGCTTCTTTTCCTGTCTCTTATTTCCACGTTACCCTGTTATCTGTAGAGTATGTTTCTTACTTGTCTTTCCATGTTCACAATCTTGTCGTACCTGTACAGCTGTATGCTGCAGGTCTTTCCGGTTCTCTTTTTTAGAACTCTGCCACTTGCTTTTACCGTCATGGTGCTTCATCTATTTTTGCAATTTGTGTAGCTTACCTTTTCATGAGGACAAAGAAGAAAGATGTAGGAACCGATGAAGGAGAAATACCAGATGTTCCTAGTGCCGCTGTTTCAACAGCAGCTGCTACGGCAGTTAGTGAAAAGGAAAAGGAAGTCACTAAAGAAGTAGCTACTTCACCTTCTGCGCTGCCTGTGGTTGTACGTGAGCCAATACCTGAGAATCAACAGCGTGAACTATTTAAGTGGATGTTGGAAGAAAAGAGAAGAATTAAGCCAAAAGATCACGAGGAGAAAAGGCGCATTGATGAGGAGAAAGCCATTCTCAAGCACTTTATTCGAGCCAAGTCCATTCCAGTTTTGTAGTTTCTGACTCTTGACGAACTTCAATACTCCTGGGCGTGGATGAAAAACTTAATCTTCAGGTTGGACTATTTCATCTTTTTTGTTTTTTCCAAATGCGAGAAGGTGCTGAAGTAATGAATCGAACAACGAATCGATGTCAGATCTCTATCTCCAATTCTTTGGTTTTTCACCAGAAACTTTGTAAATAAATTTGCAGGCTTTAACTATGAATTTTCACTGTCTAGAAGACATCATATAGTTGTTATTGTCTTTATTCTACCTTTACCCAAATTGGAAGACTGCTGTATTACTCTAGTAGAGACTCTGCTTTCAATTAAAAATGTGAACATGGACAAAAGCGTAACATTGCCTCCTATTAAAGGTGGTGCAATGACTCAGAAGACTGTTAGACTTGAAACTTTAAGCAAATCAGCTCCAAGGGACAGAATCCTAACAACCGCAAAAGGGGATTTTAGTTTACACAAATGATCTTGAGTGCATTAAAATATTCTGAGTCAATTTCTTGAGCCACGAGTAAGAGGGTCCCTATTTCCATGTCGTGTTGAATTTGTTAGTCGTTTAGACTAGTACCAAAAATAATTCGATGATACCTGACTGGGAAACTGGAACTTGAAACTTCCTGCTCTCTTCATAATGTGAAAAAAAGACTTAGATGAAATAGATTTTGTATCAATATTTCAACCTTCCATCATAGAGAGTCACGCTATACTATCTCAAGGATTGCACTAATTAAAACAGCTAAAGAAAGAACCCAAAATAAGAAAGTTTTGACAAGTGAAATTTGCTAAGTTGGCTAGTTGCCTCTACTAATTTGAGAATTCCACATTAGAGGTAATTGAAAAAACTAATTACAATACTCTTAGGAACTCGGAGTTACTGATCCTTGAGGATCGATGGGGGTAAAAGAAAAAGAATGTTCAAACAATTCGCGTTAAAAGAACAAAAAAAATCAGCAAAAAAAAAAAAAAAGAAACAAGAAAGTACTCCCTCGAAATAAATTATTTGTTGTTTAAGGTTTTGGCACGCTCAATAAAAATTATTTAATAACTTATAAGGGAAAATTTGTTAAAATTTAATTAATGTCATTTTGATTTCTGAAAGCGATACGTATTTTTAAGATCCGATCAAGTTTGTTTGGCTTAAGCCATAAATAATAAAATAGGTATGTGGTTTGGGTGAGGAATGCCACACAACTTGTCCATTTCCTATAGAGATCCCACAATGCGCATATTGAATCAATAACTGCCGTCTTCAACCATATAATGTTCTAATGCATCAACTTAGTGCATTCAAGAATTCTATTAATTAATCACGAAAAAAGTTCCAATAATAGTATAGTTGCATCAACCAGCTGATACTCTAGTACAGAAGAAATATTCTCCAGCATTTTCAAGCTAAGATTTGGTTTATATATTAACAATTATTCGTATCTAAAGAAGTTAATGGAATGATGACAATAGAATGAAGCACACGCTTACACTATGATTATTAACAAAAATCAGTTAGGCAATTTGAACAATCATGGAAAGAAGGAATTAATGTTGGGGCATGGAACTTAATATTAAATATTCAAAGCCAAAGTCGATGTGGGTCATAAAGATATCAAATACTCCTACTTGCTTGATAACAGTCAAAGGGATATGTTGAAAATCACATTCATATAACTAATACTAATATATATGAGTATTACACTAAAGTACTAAAAGAAGAAAAAAGAAAAGAAGATTAGGTAGTCTTACACCTTTCTTTTTATGAGGTTTGAACGCTCAAATCTCAAGCCTTATTGATTAATCAATATATTCTAGGATAGCTTAATTAGTTACTAATCAGAAACGTATAAATCAAGAAAGGATTGGCGGAGAATGAGATTAGAAGACAAGTTTGGCCATGGTTTGTGGGGTATGAATATGATGATTATGAAAGCGAAAGTGTAATTAGGTTTCTAATTAGAAAAATAAACTCACATGCAAGCACAATTGTGCTCGGCTGAAGAGGGGACGCTTCGTCCAATATTGTGCCTCATATATCATCATGAGCGTAGGGACTTATATTTTTGTTACTAAAATGCTACTAATTTAGAGAGAATATATTATTATACCTTAATAAACTTCTCTCTTTGTACCTACCAAGACTTGATTTAGCTTTATTACATATTTTGGACCATTTAATAAGATATATTGTTTTTTGTTCTTTCCTTATTGTGGATATTTATAAATTATTTGATTAAAGAAGAAGGAAGTAGTTGGCCTTCTAGGATAATATATAGGGTTGGGAAAATGACACTGTATAGTCTCTCTCAAAATAATAACCAAAAAATATATATTTTTTGTATATATATGCATTTTGTAAGTTATATACAAAAATTACACAATTTTGATATACTTTTCGGTTACCAAATATAAATAGTTTCTGACGCGGATTAAAAGTGATAAACCCATATAAGGTTTCCTTCTTGACCATACAATTGTATTGTTTGACCCATTCCATACACAAGCGGCTAGCAGATTAGTACTGGCAACTTCTTTTAACATTTTAATTAGTGTATAATAATTAAAAAAAGAAATTAGTGTATAATTTTGGTGTAGTAAGATCTATCCTAGCCTACTTTCCTTCCAATACAATCATATGCCTAGACTCTTTTAATGATTAGTGCACGTTGATGAGTGATCACTGGATTTATATCACATAATTCTCAGTGATTTACCTAGAGATTGATCCTCCTCACTTTTGGAGTATTCTAGTAAATGGCTATGGCCTATGAGCTATAGAGCCAAGCAAAAATAGTAGTAGCACCTTCTTCTTCTTCTTCTTCTTCTTCTTCTTCTTCTTTTTTTTTTTTTTTTTTTTAAATTCCCTCCCATTTTCACTAGGGGCTGTGCCGCGGTCGGACAGCATATTTTGGATTATAAATTCGGATTTCGAATTTTATAAAATGCAATCCGAATTAAATTTGATCGGATTTTAAAGTTTGGATCGAGTAAATATTTTGAATTTTCGGATCGGATTGTACCCCTTATTAAGGCTACTAGCAAACTAATTTTATCAGCTACAACACTTTTTAAGACTACTGCTATTCACTATTCTATTAAATTGAAAGGGATCAAATATCTTTCATAGCAATAGACAAAAACAAAAGTATAATCCTTTTCTAGACCGACCAGTATCCGCGCAGGTGCTTTTGACCTTGACCGAGTCTTTTCTAGTACGGACCTGGCGGAGTGCTTACATGAGGGTATACCTGGCACGGTTAACCGGAAATTGATGAAAGATTGGTTTGGAAGGATCCAAAACGTGATTAAGGCGTATGATGCCTATACTGGTGAGGTATGCCGCGCAAAATAAAATAAACTGAAATTCCGAACAAATGTCTAATAAAGAAGAGGCATCGTTGTTTGTTGATAGGAAGGAGAGACCCGAGAATGAGAGACACAAAGGTAAGACTTAAGAAAAGCGAAAAGAGCAACCTGAAGAGAGGTTAGAGAGAGACTTCGATATAAACTAAGAAAAGAAGAGTCTAAAGAGAGGAGAATGAAATGAAAAGACTTAACCCTAAAATATAAGTCTAATATTTATACATGTCCATATAATTCGGATTTCGGATCATATTGGATTAAAATTATACCAATCCGAATCCGATCCGAATATCCGAACTTTTAAAAAACCTAACCCATATCCGATACGAATATTCGAAATCCGAAAATCCGAATAGGGCGGATCGGTTCGGATTCTCGGATATCCGATAATGCACAACCCTATTTTCCATACTTCCCCTCCAGTGTGACTCGAATCCAGGACCTAACGATCGTCAATGGAGGTGCTTTACCAACTGAACAAATAGTACCTAATAATTAGTAAGAATATGGTTTAGAGACCATGCATATTATATCCATTTAACTACTAATGAATCATGACTCATCCAACTAAAGCTTCTTAACTCAAGTACACACTTCCAATTATTAGGAATATTATAAGATTCTAAAAAAAAAAAAAAAAAAACTCTTTCTGCTTTTCCCTCCCCACCAATTACCCTACTCCAAACAACAAAAACCACAAAAGCGTGTGCAACGTGCAAACACAACTCACAAATAATACACAACTACAAAACCATTGTCAAAATCATTAGCCAAGATCTAGCAAACATAAGAAAAAAAAAAATTCTCAGATGGATAGTATTACCCTTTGGAATTTGTTAGCAACAGTACTAATCCTCTTCTTAATATCAGCATTAATCATCATTTTTCTCAGGAAATTCATCATTAGCCGTAGAGTGAAACCAACATCATCAATATACAGAAGATCAAGCACAATTCAACTTCCTTTGGGAAATCTTGGATGGCCTATCATCGGAGAAACCCTAGAGTTCATTTCTTGTGCCTACTCTGATTGCCCCGAAAGCTTTATGGACAAGCGTCGTCACATGTAAGTTTTATTTAAATCATACGTTGTTCAGTGTGATTGATACGACCAAAGTTATTTTTGAAAAAAAAACATTTAGAAAATAACTCATTTGTGTAGTTCTTAGTTGGAGAGTGAAAAATATTTCTCGGGAAACATTTTACTAAAGATTGATATTAATATTAGGAAATTGATGTAATTTTTGTACGTATTATTAAAGATTAGTAATAATATCTAAGTGCCAGATATAATGGTGATACGAAGTTAAGAGTTGGGTCGAGTAGTCTTTTCCCTAAAAGCGAGGAAAGTTTTATTGGAGAATATATATTTTTCCTAAAGAATATTTTTTAGCCACCAAACATCAAAAATATTTTCCGTCGTACCAAACACACTAAAATCTTCTCTATTGGGTCATTATGATCAGTCTGTTAATTACTACTATGTAATTTGAATGTTATTTTTGGCTGTGGAAAATTTTGAAGGTATGGAAAAGTGTTCAAGTCACATATATTTGGAAGTCCGACGATAGTTTCAACTGATGCAGAAGTAAATAGAAGTATTCTTCAAAGTGATGCAAAGACTTTTGTGCCTTTCTATCCAAAGTCTCTAACTGAACTAATTGGAAAATCCTCCATATTGCTCATTAATGGAAGTTTGCAAAGGAGAATCCATGGCCTCATTGGAGCTTTTTTCAAGTCTCCTCACGTTAAAGCTCGGATTACTCATGACATGCAGAAATATGTCCAACAATCTATGAATAAATGGCATGAAAATTGCCCCGTCTACATCCAAGACCAAGCTAAAAATGTTAGTTTCCATTGCCTTTTGTCTTATTTTTTCTATCGACATTTTACTTCGTTTTGCACAGGATTTAACGTGGTGTGATAAGATAATCTACTCTACTTTCAGGTTAATAGTCTTAGAGCACGTTTGGCCATGAAATTTTTTTCACTTTTTTTCGAAATAGTGTTTGGCCATAAAATTTTCAATTTTCACTTGAAGATGAATTTTGGAATTTTTTGAAAATTTGAAAAACTTCAAAAAGTTGTTTTTCAAAATTTTCCCTCAGATCACTCATAAAAATTCAAAAACAACCCAAAATTATATTTATGTCCAAACGCAACTCTAATTTTCAAATGCCATTTTCACTTAAAAACTTTTTCATTTTTTTCCGGAATTTTATAATTCTTAGTCCAAACGCCCACTTACTTTAGTTATGTTTTAGGTGAATTGATGATGTAATTTTTGTAAACATTTATAACCGAAGCAGTGCGGCTCAACCCTAAAGCCACTTAGGCCTCATTTGTTTTTTTTTAGATTAAGACGTCTGAATCTGAATACACATCTGAATATCAAGATGTGTATTAAGATTAAGACATCTGAATCTAAATACACATCTGAATATATTAAGATCTGTACTAAGATCTGAATAGAAATAATTAAGACTGTTTGATTTTTAACATCTGAATGTATAAAATTTATCTTTATTTGAAAATTAATAAACATAAAATTCAAATGAAATACTAACTAATCTAATATTCTATCAATAAAATATATAGTTTTAAAATATGATAGTTGTTGGTGGTGATGGCTAACGGGTGAATGCCGACTAGAGGCGGTGGTTGGTGGTAGTTTTGGTTGATGATGGTGGTTCATGCTAGTAGCTAGTAGTGATTGGTAGTGGTGGCGATTAGGATTGAGGATGGTGGTGATAGTTAATAATGTCGGGTGGTGGTAGTAGTTGTGATTAAAGAAGGTGGTGGGTGGGTGGTGGTAGGTTATATTGATGGGTTGTGCCGGCTGTGGTTGTTGATGGTGATAGGGTGGTCAGTTGTGGTAGTTGAGGCGGATGAGTGTTGATTGTGGATGAGAATGATGGTGGTCGGAGTGGTGGGGATAGTAGGTGGTGATGGTCGATAATGGAGGCTATGATTAAGGATGATGGTGGCGGAGGCGGAGGCGGAGGTGGTGGTGGCGGTGGTGGTGGTGGTTGAGTATGGTGGTGGTGGTGGCATGGTGGTAGTTGATAATGGTAGGCGGTGGCGGCAGTTAATAATGAATATATGATAGCATCTTAATGAAATTAAGTCTCTGTTATAGATCTTAATCATACAGACCTATTCAGACCCATTAAGTGGTTGTGAAGTAAAAAAAACAAACACACTTAATGATTAAGATCTGGATAATTAAGATTCAGACTTTAGAAACAAACGCACTTAATGTCTGAGATCTGAATGATTAAGATTCAGACCTCCATTAAGTGCAAACAAATGAGGCCTTAGGCCCCCATAAAATTAAGGCCCCAAATTTACTCAAATTATATATAGTATAAATAATTATGTATTTATTATTAGTGATAAATAAATTAGTTTTAATCATTTGTTGTCAATTTTAAAGTTTATACTAAAAATTGTAGATTATTAAATTTGCATTTTTTCGTATTTTTTATTATTCTTTTTTGTTACCTCACGCATGGTGGATGAGCTCAACTTCTTAATTTGTCTAACTCACTTCAACTTGAATCAATTTTGTTTATAATTATGATTTTGTAGAATCTTCTTCTATTCTTTAAGTGCTTTTTAGACAATTTTTCAATCTTAAGCTAATGAAATTATCAAAAGATTAGATATGAAAAGCATTTCTTAACCTCGAATATCTTTTGAGGCCTCTTTTTAAATTTTCGCTTTAGGCCACATGTAGTGTTGAGCCGCCTCTGAACTGAAGAAGTATAAAAATGAAGTTATAGGTGTGTAAAAAGACGACTATAGTCCGGCTAAATCGTTGTCCAAAGCTTTTCCTACATTGAAAAATAATGATTATGACCTTAATCGTGGGTTTATGCTAAATTGGATGAATTATGTTGTTAGTAAAAGTGGAGTCATTTGTAATAATTATGTATACATAATTTCTTATGTTATAGTAATTATAATGTGTCTCTAATTCCAACTTTGATTATTTATCACGTTTTTATTTAACCTTTTATTGTTTTTTTGGTACATTCAGATTGCTTTCCAAGTATTAGTCAAAGCGTTGATTGGAATAGATCAAGGTGACCAATTGGAGTTTTTAAAGACTCAATTTCAAGAATTCATAGCTGGTCTTATGTCTTTGCCAATAAATATCCCTGGAAGCAGACTTCACCGTTCTTTACAGGCAAGTTGTGCTAATTTACTTTCATTGTTGGTGTGTCAATTAATCTTGGGCAGGTTAAAATGAGCCGAGTCAATAAATATATTGGATAATGACCTGTTTACAAGTTACTTGGCTGAGACGGACTGGGTCAATAATTAAGATGGGCTAAAATTTGAGTCAACCCAACCCGCCCAACTCTTTTTAAGCTTAAATTAATATGTGTTATTTTCTTATAAATTGCTTAATTCAAATAAGACTTTTTATTTTATTTTGTTGTGGTCGTATATAACATATCAAACAAAAAATAATTATTTTAAAGATATTTAAGCAAAGTTACTCATGGATTAATTTATGCTAGTATCAACCCAATTTTAGATGGGCTAAGACAAGTTTAGCCAAGATGGACTGAGTTCAACAAATAAGTGGGTCAATGACCGACCCAACCTTGGGCGGGTTGGGCGGACTAAATGGCTATGGTCTCAAATTACCACCCTAATACGACGATATTTGACTGAACGCAAAAATTACTAGTAACAAAATTTAATTTTTTCATGTTACAACGGAATCTTGAATTGCTAATTATCTTTTTTCAGGCGAAAAAGAGAATGGTGAAATTGATCCAAAGAATAATCCAAGAAAAGAGGGACAGGAGTAGTATTTCAACAGTAAGTGAAGATGTAGCTGATGTTTTGCTAAATAATACAAGTGAAGAACTAACAGATGATTTAATATCGGATAATATGATTGATTTGATGATACCTGGAGAAGATTCAGTTCCAGTGCTTATAACTCTTGCCATAAAATACCTTTCAGATTGCCCTGCTGCCCTCCAACAATTGACGGTATGTAGTACTTTCTAGCAAAGAATTTTTACATTATTAGTACGATTTAATCGGTTATATTAGGTTATTATTAAATTTTTCAGGTTACTAATATACTCTATCAAACTTAACCGACAATATCTACTTTTTATAAAATTATTTCATTTGAAGGGAAGTCTTGGCGTAACTGGTAAAGTTGTTGTCATGATCAGGAAGTCACGGGTACGAGGTGTAGAAACAACCTCTTGCAAAACGCAAAGTAATGTTACCTACAATAAACCCTTGTGGTCCAGCCTTTCCCCAGCACATAGCGGGACTTAGTGCAGCGAGCTGCCTTTTTTTTTTTTTTTCCTACTGTATAAGTTAAATTATATATCACACGACAAAAAACTGACTTATCAACACCTTTTTATTTTTTCGCATTTTTTATTGCTAACAATGATTAATGAGAATGACGTGTACTTGATTGTAGTTCTTTTGATCAATGGCAATTATTTTCCATTTAATTATTACTAGAATTATTTTTTAATTCCATGGCGGTTTACAGGAGGAGAACCTGATATTAAAGAGGCTGAAAGGGAAGCAAGGAGAAACACTAGTGTGGAGCGATTATTTATCCTTACCATTTACACAAAACGTAAGATAATGATAATAATTCAACTTTTCCGTGTAATAAAAATAATTTTGTCGTAATAAAGAAACTGATGAATAATAAATTTTGTTTTTTGTAGGTGATATCAGAGACATTAAGAATGGGAAACATAATAATAGGGGTAATGAGAAAAGCAGTGAAAGATGTGGAGATAAAAGGATATTTAATTCCTAAAGGATGGTGTGCTTTGGCATATTTTAGATCAGTCCATCTTGATAATAATCTCTATGATTTCCCATTCCAGTTCAATCCCTGGCGCTGGCAAGTAAGCACAAACAAATTAGTATATTTAAATCTTGTTTTCTAAATTACACTTATCGCGCGCAGGGAACAACGTCTTTTTTGGAGAAATGTTATTTTACATTGATTTAACTTATATACATGGATGATATAAAAGACGATGATGTGACTTGAATTTAAACTTTTGTAACATGATAATTACAGAACAAAGAAACGAACAACTATAACTTCACACCATTTGGAGGTGGACAAAGGTTGTGCCCTGGGCTTGACCTTGCTAGGCTCGAAGCTTCTATCTTCCTCCACCACTTTACTACTCAATTCAGGTATACTTTTTACTGTCGATTAATTTTAATTAAGCATACAAATTGACGACAATCATGAAATTGTCCAAAATAATGCTGTTATATATGCTGATTTAGCTTGTTTGGCACTGATATCTAATTGTTTTTTATTTATTCCAAAACTTTTGCGGCATGTTCAGTACGGATTCTATGTTTGGAAAGTTGATAAGTTAATTCGTATAGATGTATATTTGCCTGGTGCCTACCTAAATCGGAAGCAGTTAAAGATGATAGAGATAACAAAACTTCTTAAGAAAATATCTTGAGAACTCTATGATCGAATTAGGTCTTTTACTACCAATCACAAGTTTCAATTATGAATTGTACCACACTAACAATAAAAGCTGAATTTTGGTTAATTATATTGTATGCAGGGGTGTCAAATAGGCGGGTCAAAATGTGTTGAGTCAATAATTGGGCGGATTATGACCCATCCAAAAATTACTTGGACTAAGATGGGTTGGGCCAAGATGGGCTAAAATTTGGGTCATAGCCCAACCCGCCCAACTCTTATCAAGCTTTGCTTAATATGTGTTGTTTTCTTATGAATTGTATAATTACTAAATAAGACTTTTTTTTATGGTCATATATAACGTATTCAACAAAAAAAAGTTATTTCTAAGATATTTTAATAAAGTTATTCATGAATCAATTTGGGCTAAAAATTAACCCAACTTTAAATGGTTTGAGATGAGTTGGATCAAGATGGATTGAGTTCAATAAATGGGCGATTCAATAACCAGTCCAACCTTGGGAGGGTCATTTGGGCTTGAGCCAAATGGTTGATTTTTAAAAATAGCCAGATTTACAACTGGTCGTTCAAAAATAGCCCAATTTCAAAAGTAATCGAAATTTAGCCACTTTTTATGTAAAGATAAATCTGAGCGAAAACACTGTTCAAAACCCGGAAAATACTCCAGTATATTATGCTTGAGTTCCAGCATAAGTATACTTGAACTCCAGCATATTATACTGGAGTTCCAGGATAGTATGCTGGAACTCCAGCATAATATGATGGAGTTCTAGCATAAATACACTAGAACTCAAGCATAATATACTGGAGTTCCAGCAAGTATAATGGTCCAGTATAATATACTGGAGTTTAGAGCACTAGTGCTCCAGTCTCCAGTATGTTATACTGGAGCCAGCAAAGTATACCGGTCCAGCATAATATGCTGGAGTTCATACACAAGTGCACCGAACTCCAGTATATTATGCTGGACCGGTCTCTATTGCAGCAAAACTATGGCTATTTTTCATTGACTTTGTAAACGCTGGCTATTTTTGATTGACCAGTCCGAAAACTGGCTATACCGTGAAATTTTGGCAAATTTAACATGTATGCATGTAAAATTACATAATTGCAGGTGGGTGGCTGAGGAGGATTCCATTATCAACTTTCCAACAGTAAGAATGAAGAGGGGAATGCCAATTTGGATTAAAAGGAGAGAGCAGACGACAGAGTAGCCACTCAATTAGTAAAGAAAACATCATGGGACAACATCAACACGTTAGAAGAACTCTAACACATTAAAAGATTGACAAGTACAACGTAACGAATTATACTAGAGAAAAAGCAGCTGGTTTTGCAACACACGTGTGGAGGGACATTTAATTTGTCCTTTTATTATGAATTTTTGCACACATATATATACTCCAGTATTTAGATTTATACTTTTGTTGGGACCCCATTAGACATTTCCACTGATTTTACTTGTTTTCCACTCTCATATTCCACCTCTTATCTGTAATTTGTACAAATGCTATATATTTAAAAAAGAAAAGGTGACCAAAAGGGACAATCAATTAATGACTATAAACTAAATATTTTATATATATTATTTGGACCTATAAGCAGCTATCACTTTCCATCTATGACGTTAAAATATCATGGTATAGCCAGTTTTCACACTGGTCAATGAAAAATAGCCAGCGTTTATCAAGTCAATGAAAAATAGCCACTATTTTGCTGCAACAGGGACCGGTCCAGTATAATATACGAGAGTTCTGGTGCATTTGTGTACGAACTCCAGCATATTATGCTGGACCGGTATACTTTGCTAACTCCTGTAAAATTTGCGGGAGACTGGAGCACCAGTGCTCCAAACTCCAGTATATTATACTGGACAATTATACTTGCTGGAACTCCCGTAAAATTTGCGGGAGTTCCAGCATAATTATGCTTGAACTCCCGTAAAATTTGCGGGAGTTCCAGCATACTTATGCTGGAACTCCCGTAAAATTTGCGGGCGTATTTTTCCGGATTTTGAACAGTGTTTTCGCTCAGATTTAAAGTGGCTAAATTTCGATGACTTTTGAAACTTGGCTATTTTTCAACGACCAGTGGTAAATCTGGCTATTTTTGAATTTCTCCCATCTATGACTCTACTAGATAATGTTGCCCATGCTTTGCATGGGCCCAACAAAATTATAGTGTAAACTTATTTTTATTTGTCACAAAAGATTAGCAGATAATTTTGATGATAGTGGTGTTTATATGTGCAGTAGCGAAAGAAAGGTAAATGTAAATCTACATGATGACCTGGAGTGCAATAACTTTGTAGTTACTGCTAGAATTACAATTCTATTTGTATATCTATCTTGAGATTACATAGCTAAAAAATTAAAAATTTCTTTAGTTAGCTTTCTAGAGTAATGTTGAACCACTTGTTTGCAGAAGAAAAAGAAGAAGAAGCTAGTAATACATGGTACAAAAATCTTGATTCAAATAACCTTTGAAAACAAATCCATTTGTTTAGCTCTTTGTAATCACGTCGAAGCTCATTTAAATCTCCAGGAATTTCCACAAGCCATAAGAGATTGTAACGAAGCATCCGAAATCGAAAATAACCTCTCAAAACAGAGGAAATCCTTCTGTTTAGCTCTTTGTTATGATGCCGAAGCCCATTATACATCTATAATTCTTTTGTTAAATAGTAAAAGTAGACATCAGTAGTATAAAAGTAAACACCATGGGATAAACGTCGCAAACTTTCGGAAATGTACATGGATCCTAATTATAAGATGTTATTATACAATATCTGGAGGCCGCTCCAAGATCCAAAAAATAATACCAATTGCCTTCAAAAACATAGGCATACACTACTGACAACTATTTAGGCAAAAAATGTGGAACATTTTGTTAAGGCGGCCAACTATCTAAACCTTGTTAAAAGATCGGTATGATCTGTCAAAATGTCTCTGTACATCGCATACCATTTCAGCGAACATCACTGCCTTGACAATCTGTACAAATAAAGAGAGATTTTATTTTCATATTTGAAACATTACGTTTAACACTTCCAAACAGATCCCACGAAACTGCATAAGTCAACCTATCCAAACATCTCACTCTCAATAACAACAAAATATGTATCTGTAATGGGACATATCCATGGTTATTCTTGTGGGATGTTAGCTGCCTCACTGAAGCCGGCATAGAGGTGGGTAACACTAAATATGACGTTTTTCTTGTATTGTGATAACTCAACTTACCTCCCAAAGAGAGCTTTAGCGGTACATACATTACATGGTGACATAAAATGGTTATGTAAGTGATTTGTCAGTATATAAAAAATCAAGGAGAATAGATATCTCACCAGGCATTTCAAAATTTTATGAGACCAAAAAGGAAGCCAAAATTTAATCAAGAAACTTATGCAGGAAAAAAAATATCTCGACTCCTTACATGTGCAGCTAAAAGGTCTAAGTTGTCCAGCTTTAAAATAAACTATTGCATGATTTTCAGCATCTAAATCAATTCATTCTCCTTAGCAAACACTACTTTTTTTTTAATATCTCGAAATGGAACACCATTTTGAAAGACAAAACAAATCCTGAAACAAATATCATAAAAAATTGTATGGATGAGAGCAGTATGCAAATATTCTAACCTTGACTGCGGCTTTAGTAGAGTACTTGGTTCCCTTTTCCGTTTCTTAGTTGCTTTTGCATTAGTCCCAAGTATTGACTCTTCTTCCATAATTCTCTCGGCATCACCCACAGATGCTGACTCTTCTGGTAGAAACATGGTTGGTTTTTCAGTGTATGATAAAAGGACCAGAGAACCTGCATTTTTGTCTGGTGTTCTGGATGATGACCTTTGTAGTTGAATTCTGAACAGTTTATCTGCAAGTAGTTGATTGATATGGGCAACAGGGAATAACTCATTCTGCAAACAGATAGGAAAAACAATGGACTTGTCAAAGCTTATGTTTATGTGTTAACTATCGAAGTATTATATTAACTTTGTTGGCTTATGTTAACTGCAATGTTGTATATGTATGTACCTTAATGTTGATGATATCGTATATTTGTTCAGCTGTCGTTGACAACATCCTTTCGCCCAAGCCTTCAGACACTGTTGCTGTCGTCGTGCCTGTTTCATCTGTAATTTCTACCTCAAAGTGGCACCTATGATGTGGTTTTACAGTTCAATTGAAAATATAGAGACACTACAAATTCCAAAACAGTTCTGTAATTACAATATTTATATATCATTAAAAGTATCACACTTTACACCACAAATAAATCGAGTTAAAAGATAACAGATAGATTGAACAGAACACAAACTCATTGACCTATTAACAATTAGGTCAAGGCTTTACGTTTCTATGATTCGCACAAAGTAACATATAAGAAATCAGGTAGGAAAACTAATAGCTTTAACTTATTTCAGGCATAACTTTTACAATAATAGAAGCCTGAACATTTGAGTTTTCTCTGTAGCTATTCAAAAGTCAGGACATGAAAACTATTGGAACAAAAAAGGAAAGAAAACTCTTTCGGATAGTGAAAAGAGGGTGAAAGTAATCAGAGTTTAACTGAAACTCATTGGTCTATTCATAACTTGGCCAAAGCTTTACTTTGACAAAGTTCCATAAGTCAGAAATAGAGAAACATATAATAAACAAGGTAAAAATCAAATAAAATACTTGTAACTGCAAATGCTAGCAGAAGAAATGCAGTAGTTTGTGCCTCTGCCTTTGTTTTCTTCTGCCGTTAGAATAGCGTTAGTTGTGGTTAAAGAAAGCTACAGTTTGTTTTTGTTTAGCTCATTGCCTGTGCTCTAGTGAGCTTAAATGAGTTTTCAGCTATAGTGCATCCCAAAATATCGCAAAGTGGTTATCAACGTGTATGCATAAGAAAAACAAAAGAACATGGAAAAAGCCTTGAGGGGTGATATTATCACATTTTTAAGAAAAACTGGCTACTTTGACTTTTGAGGCGACACAGATTATTAATGCACACAGTATTAAATATTGTCAGTGACATCATCTTATTAGTAGCGGTTGTTACCTTGGAATTAACATTCGTGGTAGCCTGCAGTTTATGCATTGAATCTCCCTTTTTATTTTGCTCCGAACAAGATGGTTACATTCAGAACAACGTAGCAGATAAAATCGTTGGAAATGCTCAGGTAGCGAAATTTCTCCTTCCGCGTAAAAAATTTCTGCCTACAAAGTGTAAATAATGAAACAAGTCGTCAGGTTTATTTTTTTTATAATATAAGCAATGGAACTTGCTAAATCATCAATTGTTAATTGCATATAATTTCCAGTGACGAAATAATACAAAGTTGCATATTAGAGGAACAATATTGTAGCTTGTATTGAGTAATAAGATACTGTAAGATGCCTATAGTAACAGGAGAGATCAAAAGGGCGGATCAACCTGAACACTTGATAATATTCTTATTAACATATGGAAAATGTAGGATTTGTATGAAGCACATAACTACAATCCCAAAACTCAATTCTAGCAAGATAATTAGTCTGCCATAATTAACAGTAAGTAAGCAGCCATAGTTGAAGTTGTAAGCTTCCGGTATATATCTATTTGATTAACATGTGTTCAATATGGTCAGCAAGTAAGAAAAATAACATATGTGGTAATTTGGAACTACAGAACCTAACAAAATTCCAAAAAAAGGTAAACAACATAAGAGGATCTATTTGATAGGTAGTTGAATTTTAGCGTAAGAGTTTATTCCAAAAATTTATACTCTAATATTGTTTAGACCATAATGTTATTGGGCTGACACGAATAGTAGCATATTAGAACATATTTAACAGTTATCCATATTGTATAAAAGATACATGGTGTGGCACACTGGAGGTTTAACAGTTATCCATATTGTAATTTACTGAACTCACACTGGAGGTTTGAGTAGCAATAGATAAAACAGATAATATTTCATCGTCAACAGCTACAAGATTAAGCGATGAAGCTGACTCCGCTGAACTCTTCACTGTGTATTCGATTAACATTTCTTTGTTCTCATCTACCCTGTAATTCGCACAGGAAATGTCAGACAATTTTTTTTTCACAGAAAAAATTATAATTGAATAATGATGTGATACATTTTAAGCACAGTTTGTATTGTACCAATTCCGTAATTCAGTTGCTTGCACATATAGGGGATTGATTAAGATTGTTGAGTTGTATCTTGTTGCCAAACGGGAAACTGTGTATGCAAATTTTGTTAATAACCAACGCGGAACCATTATCCATATGTAAAAATAGGAACTTCATGAACTTACCACCATGGTATGTTGTGGTACCTATCCGTTTCGCGAGAATAACAGGATATTCTTGAAGTTGCCTCACTTGTCTCGGTAACTCAATTCCTTCATTGCTTGCCAAATCTTCCCATATAGTGAAGAAAAGAGGTTTCTTCCTGTACATGTACTTTTATAAGTGTCAGTTAGAGATTTTGTTATGTAACAGAAAATTAAATGAGTCACGTATTGTCCATAACTATGGCCTCTTGAAATCTCTTAGTCTGATCAGCGGTGTATTGCATTGCACCACAGTTTGCCATTACAGCTAGTAGATCTGTTGTTATAAATAAAAAACAAATGTAGGTAAAACCAATATACTTGCATTGACCATGGGTCCGAAGCAATTAAGCTCTTATAAAGCATAGGGTTATTTGAAACATACCAAATTCAACACCAGAAGGCTGTTGTTCAACGTCGGCGAACGAAATCACACTCAGTCTCGACGGAGGAGGTAACGGTACCTCCTTTTCATTAGTTTTTGGGATAGACTCAACAATAGTGAATCTGTCAACGATACACTCAAACTGGCCAATATGTAGTGAATAAGGCTGCGGATATCTAACCTTCGCAGTTGAAATCAGATATGTCTCAAAAAGGCCGAACAAGTTATCACATCGTTTAATGTCGTCACCATAGAGTATTACACAAATTTGTTCCTCCTACAGTGTTATCAAGAATGATAACGCAGTAATTATTGGAAGAGTACAAGTGAGAAGATGTTATGTTACAATTATGGTTGTAACGTGACTTACGTTTACATCCTGGACAATTATTGTCTGAAAATGAACTTGCTGATCTCTACTGTCTCGCGGCCGAAATTTATCTACAGTTTGGACTTTACAAGTCCATTCTGTAGTTAGTGGTGTAATTTCACTGATACTAAGTCTTTCTTCCATTTTCTCAATATAACCTGTATATTGATAAGTGTAAAATTGTAAGAACAAATCCTAGGATTAAACACAAACCAAGAAGCACAACCAAATATTTTAAGAAACAATAATCAACCTATTCAAACAAATAAGTTAACACTTCAGGAAAACATAAATAAGCTTATAGAAGAAAGATAGATAAATATTTGAGGCACAATAATGTTTTGACATATATTCTGAAAAAGAGAACAACATATTGTATGAAGAAAAATGGAAGAAGTTCTGTTCTTGGTATCACTAAAATTTCATAGTAAATTGTTTCACATACAGAACTGAAAATAACATATTATTCAAAGCAACAGTAGAGAAAAGCATATAAAGTGATTTAGATGTATAATCAGTCCAAAATTTCTCAAAAAGCATAATCAGTAAAACCCAAAATTGACTAATTAACATACGACACTGTGCTAGCACTGGGGAAACCCCAAATAACAAGCAGCAATGACATCGATAAAATTCAACATTGAAGGGGAACGTACAGATTTTTTCCGTAAAATCGAAAGTAGCGACCAAATTGCTATCAAAACAGCAAAGAACTTACAATAATTTAAAACAAACTCATAAATTACAGTGATAACAAATTATTCACTCACTTGAAAGTTGAAACAAAGAAGAAAGCAGAGGATGAAGTAGTAGAATGCAGATAGAGAAAAACAAAGAAGATAAATAGATAGAGATAGAGAGTGACTTATCTGTCATACAAAAGCGCCGCAGACTTCTTGTATTTGCACCAGCTGTAAAGTTGATTCACACACGTTAGCTTTCAGCCAAATTTAGGAGCAATATGAAATGACCAGAATACCCTTTAGCAGCAAGCACACATGACGACCTTCAGCTGCTTCTCTCGCTCTTCTATATATTAGTAAAGTAATGTATATTTTAAAGTTAGTTTTAGGATTTATTTTAGCTTTTGGGAATAAACATATCCACGTCTTTTTGGATCCGAAATTATTTGAAAATTATTTCAAATAACAAAGGTTTATCAAATGGCCAATTATTTCAACTTCAAACTTGAAATATAGAATCTGAAATTTGAAGAAAAAGTTTGAGGATTTTTTATTTTTATTTTTTAAATTTTCACTCCCAAAACTTCTAACTTTATTTTCATATCCAAAATACAATACTTTTTTCAAATGCTCTTTTCAACTTCAACTTTAAATATTTCTTTTCTCCAAATATCAACCAAATCATGTCCAAACATTTACAATAATGAGAACTCTATTTTTCCTCGTTCATCAAAACTTTATTTTAACTAGTTAAAAGTCTTAGGCCCCGTTTAGCCATGAGTTTTGTCAAAATAAATTTGGGATTTATTTTCAAAGCTCATGTTTGGCCATAAATTTTGCCCATTTTGGCCAAATCCCAAATCCCAAAATCAGCTATTGGGCCAAAATCCCAAAACTTGGGAATTATATACATGTTTTTCCAAAATAAAGTTGGAAAATATGTTTTGAAAAGGTACCTCCAAACGCATTTTCATCTTCAAATCAAAATTAACCCAAATCAAATTTTTCAAAATAAATTTGGGATCTATGGATGTCACTTTCACATTTTGTCTATAGATTTATTTATTTCTTCATTGGTCCAACTATTGGAAATATTTATATACCACTCAATTCTACTACTACTAGTTGAATTGACTCATTGGTAGTACTGGAGTCAAAAAAGCAAAAGAATGGGCGAAAATGGAGGACCCCAAATCTCAAACAAGATGATACCTGTTGAAGAAGCACTTGACATAGTTCTAAGTGTAGCTCAGCGGCTGCCACCTGTAACTTTGCCTATTCACGAAGCCTTAGGCAAAATCTTGGCTGAGGATATTACTGCCCCTGACCCTCTTCCTCCGTATCCTGCTTCTATTAAGGTATTTTTTTCGCATTTATGTACTGTTTTATCAATTGAGTATTGCTACTTTTTGGTATATTCTCTGTACTTGTTAAGGGTATAGATATGTTCTTTTTGGTGTGTGTGTGTGTGTGTGTGTGTGTGTGTGTGTGTAGTAACATGTTAATATTGATTGACTATTTTGGTGCTTAAAAACTGAATCTTGGATTTATGCTTAAAAATTCAATTGAAGTATTTCTTTTTCTCGCATTTATGTACTGTTTTATCAATTGGGTATTGCCCCTTTTTGGTGTAAACATGTTAAGGGGTATGTGTATGTGTGTGTAGTTAGTACATGACAATGTTGATTGACTATTTTTGGTGCCTAAAAATTGAATGTGTATATATATACACACACATATATATGTAGTGTTAGTATGTATGTGTGTCTATGGGTTGTACATGTTAATGTTGATTGACTATTTTTGGTGCTTAAAAATTTAATCTTGGAACTATGCTATATATATACATGTGTGTGTGTGTGTTGTACATGTTAATGTTGATTGGCGATTTTTGGTGCGTAAAAGCCGAATCTTCAAATTATGCTATGGGTTCCGTGTGAAAGTTGTTATCTTTCTTGGCTGAGCATATCACTGCCCCTGATCTTCTTCCTCCATACCCTGCTTCTATTAAGGTATTTTTTTCTCCACATAAATGTACTGTTTTAGCAATTGGGTATTGTCCCTTTTTGTATGTATGCTGTAGGGTAGAGGGGCATGCCCATTATCCCCTAGTTTCCATGGATGCAGTAAGCCCTAAGGGTTGGCCCCGAATGGATTTCTCATAATATATATATATATATATATATATATAGTTCTGCAATGGGCTCTCTCTGAAAGTTGTTGTCTTTCTTGAGTCAATGCCTTCTTTGCGGCCCCCTATTCCCAGGTTGCGGTGCCTAGACTCTGTGTGTGTGTTGGCGGGGGG